TAATATATAATATTTCTGTAACAAAGAAATATGTATTTAAGGTTGTGTATTTTTTTACAAGACTATAACAATTCCACGATTTAAGTATAGAACTTGGCTTAGTAATTTTAATTAATGTGTGAAAATATTAATCTGTTGCAGTATACAATTCACAAATTAGAAAAGGGAGACTACACCTTGAAAATGCATGTACGTCATGAGAAAAAGGATTTATTAGAAAGATTAACAGATATGCCGTTACTTTTGAGTCAGAAGCTTAGTACACCAATTAATTTGGATATTTATGCCAATCAATCGCAAGCTACTATTGGTGGGAAAAAAATGGTTACTGCAGCTATTCCACCTGGTCATATTCTTCCTTTATACATTGCTCCATTGTCTAACGAAAGCAAGTAAGTGTCTACATTTATATTTGTATATACAATAAGCCTTTTTCTTAATATTTCCTATTGTAGATACAAATTAGTTTGATTTTTCTAAATTTGTTGCCGATTATAATAATAGATATAGTTGAATATTTAAGTTATTATTTTTGTGTAAAACTAATCTGCAACTCTGAAAGTTATTTATAAAGAAAATTTTATAATTTGAACTGATAACTTCCATTATATTTATTTAAAATTTCTGAATGCAACATTTTATTAATATGAAAAAACTACTAATATACTAATGTAGATCATTAAAATTGATTATTTTGTATAGCACAGTTTCAACTTAAATGTATAAACTTTATCTTTTTCAGACACTTTATATACACGTTATGTATCATGTTCACCATTGCATATAATTTACGTATATTAAAATATATTAGAAATATATCACTTATTGATCATTTTATTATTAAATAATCTTTATTGCACATTTATTTTATACATTGATAAAATGTACGCTTAAAATATTCTACACAAAATTTTGTATTTTTTACACAATACTTTGTATATAAACTCTTAATTTTATGAATTGAAAATTAATATTGCACTATGGTAGTATGTTTGGTTGAATGTAAAATATTGTTTGACTTTTAATTAGAAATTTTCATGTTTTTACTTGTTTGTCAAGCTAAATATATTTGAACAATAATATTCATATAAACGTTTCTTTATGAAAAAAATATATATGTATACATTATACATTTTATGCATATGTATATGTGTATATGCACAAAGAAACACTTATGAATATTATATTTTCAATATTTTATATGTATGTGTAAAATGTCATCTAAATTGATGTCATAAAATTTACGTACTTTTTTTACCAATTTGAAATCAAATTTTTCTTAGTAAAAATGTGTTGGAAATTCTTTTTATGAGTTTTTTATTTTTAACGTTAATCTTTTAATATTGAGAAACTACTTATTAAATAAATATAATAAATAAATTCGTATTAAATTCTTATTGAAATCAAATTTCTTTAAATAACAATTTTATCTATCGATTTTTTAAAAATTTAATTCTTAAAAAGTTTTATTTTCATCTATAAATATCTATGCCTATATATATCTATGAATCAAATTATAAATAAAAACACTTGTGGACACATATACACATATACACATACACATGCACTTTCACTAAGAAAACATCAATGTCAAATTGATTAAGAAAAATACATATATGTAAATTCTGTGACATTCATTTAGAGATATTTGATAAAATAATATGTTATTTAGTGCTAAAGTGCTACTAAGATAACTTTTTTTTCATCTTACATTGCAGCACTGAAAACATGTGAGTTTATAATACAATTTTTATACATACTTTGCATTTGAAAGCTTTGAATAAAATCAAAGACATTTGCTACTCAGTCATATGAATATACTTTAAATGCATGCTAATAATGTCTGCTTAATCAAGATATTGTGTACAAGGTACAATATCAAGATATTGCTTACTGCAGGAAAAAATATATTTAAAGACATAGGCAAGTTTTTGTTCCTTTCTTTATTCTTAGATATCAAGCAGACAGATCATCATACATCACATAAGCCATGTACATGTATTAAAACAAAACACATCGATGAAACTTATACATACAAAAAAAATTTGCCTACGTATTAAAAAATGAACTACTGCTTTCTGCTACTTTCAATTAATTTGACATTATCTGTTTTTCCAAAATGTTATAAATTAAAGAAATTTCTTCATAGATTTATATTTGTATAGCTGTTTTCAACTTTTATTGTCCAATTGCGAATATTGTGAATATTTTATTTTACAGACACACACATATACACATATATGTATATATATATATATATACATATATATGTATATATATGTTACGCTTTTGAATTGTATGTGCTGATGTAACATACTAGTACATTTGAATGAATGGAATGTTTCTCTACGAAAATATTACATTCTGTTGTATATTATAACTACTGTTCTGCTCTTCTTACACTATTCTACTTATTTTTCTGTTCTATTTGGCTTCAGCATGTAATACACACGATTAAAAAAAAAGAAAATTAAGCTACTATGTTTATGATTAAAATATACAATTTTAATCTTAATCTTAATATTTAAATATTTTTCTTTTCTTTTTGCAAAGAGTATCCAAATACGCTACCCCTGGTAGTTATCTTCAAGGTACATTGACTTTCTGTAAAGATGATATTGGAAAGAAGGTGGATAGTTATGTATTTAAATACATCATATCGGAGCCTGCCAAGAAAAATGTCAGCCCTCCTCCTAAATCTGAGAAAGAGAAAACTACAAAGTGGGATGAATACCAGGAAGCAATAAGAGATATAAAATGCAATTACCTTGCCAAATTTGGTAATTTAATATTTAGATATGTAAATGTTTAGCTGTACAATAGATATAATAGATCGTTAGTATAATTTATTATTAGTATTATCTCATATATATATTTTTTATCTTTTTTTCCGGTTTACATTCTACCAATAGCACCATCTATAAGTAAGTTGGGTTGAATTTAAGATGTGAACATTTCTGTATCCATGTCCTTTTTTTGTTACCATACAAGATACATGTGTACCTTTGGGCATGTAATTGCAATTGTTGCATTTATCTAACTATCTACAGATATTTATATGTCAAATATGTATCCACGATTACAGTTTTTATCCTTTTACTATATTTGATAAACAGACCGTTTACATTAACAGCATACATAATTTATTTGAGAACTTTGACATTTGTTACCATATAATATAACAAATCTAACATGAATACCTACATATATGCAATTATATATGAAATATATATTAATATATATGACATTAATTTTTATACATTATACTTTAATTGAAAGTTTACTTTTATGAATTAATACTAATGAATTCTGTTCTTGTTCATAACAGAACCCGGTGATCATACCAATTCGCTATATGGAGAATTGAAAGGCGCCTTCTCAGATCATTTACCCGTCCATACTGCCATGTTGACATCTCTAGATTCTTCTGAGGCACGGCGACATTTACCGCAGAATGATCTCTCAGAAAACGCTGTTGTGTTTGCTAATCAAATAATAACAGTTGCCGACTCTGTGATCACAAATATTGATCAAGATAAGTTATTAGCATATTATGGATTGAAAAACGATCAGCGTTCTGATGCGGCTAAAATCAAAGTAACTATGGAAAAGCAAAAGAACAGTTTGATCGAGGGATTAGTGAAGAAAGGTTGTGCATTGGCACGGTTATACGTACATGGGACAAAGACTGGGGAGGGAGATGGATCTTTTGAACATTTGCTTGAAAGCGTTACACATCACTGGCAAGAAGTGCAGAAATTCGCTGAACCCACTGATAATAAGGTAATATCATTATGTTTAAAGCCATCTTTTAAAGTGGACAAAAGTGTAACATGTATGAACATATGTATATATGTTCACATGTCTACACACTCGAATAAACGTTAAATAATGAACAAGTATATAAAATAACAAATCAGATTTATTTCTATTTCTTCTTTAGGTTATTATTTTATCTATGTGGCATGCACACATTAATAATCACTACGGACGTTATTTGAAATTACTGACACGCTATTTTGAGGAAAAACCACTGAGAGAAATCGATGAAAAGTGTATTGAAATTGCAAAGCTTCTGGGATGGGAACATTGGTCACGTTTCCTTACCTCAAGTATACCAACACGGTATCCAATTGCATATAGATCATTTTGATCATTGGTGGGTATTGTTTAATTTATTCCAAAATTTCAAAAATACATGCCAATAAATATTTATTACAATAAATAGTTTTTTTTATCTCAATCCAGTCTTTACAGTAACATCTATATGAATATCTATTTGATTAAAATTCGATGAAAGTTAATTGGATAACTAATTACTGCATACTGTTATATTTTGTATGATACAAAAATCTGTTTATTTTCAGATTTTACGAAACCAGTGTGAAAGTATGATATAGAAGATTTATGAGGACAATTTCCAACACATCTTTGTAATAACAGTGACAAACAAAAGTCAGGTGTAATATACGTTTAGAAAAATATAAATTTATTCGTAATAAACTAATGACTTAGAAGACTAACTGCAGTGCTAAACTGTCTTAATCATATTCGTATCTAATTTGCTTAATAAAAATTGAAAATAGGAAAAATCCTATAAAAAATTTTACAAGAGATAAGTATAAGCGAATGATAAAATAGACGAATAAAGTATTTTCTTTGTGAAGACTAATCCACTCAATACAATGAAAGAACTGCCAAGATTTTAATTTGAGTGAGTACTTAATTGAAAACTGAACTTTTTAATATTGTATTTTATGAAGAACGCTATCAATATCAATTTAGAAATGAATTTTGAATTTTTCACAAATAACATTGTGTTATGAAATATCACCTATTACAACACAATGTATCTCATTTAACTTTTATCGTATTTCTATTTTTACAGTAAATTATATGTAAATATATAAATATGTCTTTTGTTTTTATATCCACGAAATATATTTCCACTATTTTATGTTATCTCGGGCATATACAACATAACTGTTTATAGAACAAAAACCTAATCTTCAAAATAGACTATTAATTTTATAATTGTAAAGTGATATATTATTTACACGTCTAACACAGATACTTTTATATCTTATCTAATAAAAAATATATTATCAAGAAATATATACAAGTTTGCACGGGCGTACATATTGGAAACTGAATTTCATACATTTACATATTGCTTTTAAATGCTAAAAAAATAATTCATAGAAATGTTTTTTTATAAAAGAGTATAATGATAAAATTTATACTCCTTTTAAAAAAAATTATTGTGTTTTATCAATCAGTCAATATATATGTCACTGCAATTAAGTAAGAACGTCACTATAAAGAAAAATTTATTTAATAAAATGTGTTTTATTATAAAGTATAATAAATATTAAATAACAAGTTTCTCTTTCATTTATTCTCTCAGAATTAGGCAAGATGGAACTTATATTTTTTGGCTAACAGATCGTAAAATAGTATATGGTAAGAAAATTATATTGTTTTTCTCACAGTTGCTCAATTACTTACGTAACCAGATCATTAAAGAAATTGTTTTTACATGTCGCTTATTATTTGAGAACATTTTATAAGTTATATTTTTCTCGATCGATTTAATTGCTTGATAAACGTTCAACTTGCATCTACTGAATGCAGCTATTTTTCATCACCACAATTGTTTTTCTTTATTACATACAATCATAACCCAAACTAGCGTACAAAATTTTGGCATCCAAAATGTCTTGACACATATTTATATCGAACCTTTTGGAAGGGACGTAAATATGAATCACAGAGATGCATTTGGTAACAAAATTAATAAGTAATGAGAGATACACGGAATAAGAGATACTTTTGTAATTATGACTTTACCACTATTTAGCTACCACTTCCCGTCATATGTGAAAGACAGTTTTAATAATGAAGTAAATATATTGTGGTATCACCCTGAATTTACGCAAAGCCGTTACCCACCAGGACAGAAAAGTATTTGTACTTTGCTGCGGTATCGCGAGTATCTTGTGTACATCAGCTATCAATAATACTTCTTGTTTGACATACTGAATTATCCTCAGTAAGTGAAGCCTGTACACTCATATGTTTGCTTGTGGCTGTACGAATATCAAGAGGAAATCTATCGATTTATGATATAGAAAATTGCCCGAAGTTAAATATTATTATGGCAGAGGCAATGATAGAGGGTAATGCAACTCATGCGTGGCTTGTTAAGAAGAGACTTGTCTCACATCCATACTTGAATACCGAAGATGCTTTAAAACATGGGGGCAAGAGTTTAAACATATTGAAAGAATGGGTACGGTAGGAATATTTTCAATCATTCAGTTATATTTTAATATAATATAAAATTTTATATGCGTGTGCGTTTATTAATATTTACAGTTGAAATGATTCTTATTGATTTTCCATTTAGCTGCATTTCTACCTGTACAAATAGACTCTTTTGAGTATATATATATATATTTTTTTTACACTCAAATAACATGCATATAATACTTTTGTCACAGAAATTCAATATCTTTCACGAGGAGATAGAAACAAGCCTTTACAAAAATATAAACACATTTCTATACGAGTGGTATAAAGCTCCGAAATCTCATACTTTATTTATGCTGCTTATCACTTGCGGACGTACTATATTATTTATATTTCAAGAGAATACCAGTAAGGTAAGCAATTAATTACATAAGTTGATCTTTTATTATATGTGCTCGCATACTTCTGATTACTTAAATAAATCATCGTATATAGCAAGTTTTTTTATTTTTAATTCTAAGTTTACTTTCTAAATTATTGACTTCGGATTAATAATCACTCGGTATAAATAAGAGTAAGACCCAAGTTTTATCCATAGGTCACTGTGTTCGATTCGCATAGTCATACCACTATTAATCATTCAAATCATGGATTAGTCATAGCTCAGGTAAATTTAAGATTTATTGCCTTGATGAATACTAAATGACAAAATGAATACAAATAAACATAAACATTACCTTTCTTCTAATAACTGAAAAAATATATGATGCAGACGACTATTGATAGATTGGAATCGTTATGCAACTGGTATATTCAGGACGTATTAAAGAATTGTTACAATATACAAGCTAATAAATACGAATTAGCTTTCTTATATTCCTACGGTGCACAATGCAGTGGCCCTAATGGAGTTTCATGCGAATGTAAAAAATCTCATAAATTGTAATCACATTTTTGTAACTAAACACTAACGTATTTTATTAATTATACTTCTTGCCGACTATAAACTCACCAAATAAAGTAATTACTTCTCTACCTTACATGTAAGTAATACACAAAATATAATTGTACACTTTTAGCAGAACTTTTTATTTAAACACATATGTAGAGATAATATACACGAAATGTGGTGTATATTTAGCAGTTTGTTTAAACAGACGAACTAAATAGATTGAGATTGATATATTTATTTACAGTATGTACAATTTACTTTCCGTTTCTCCTAAGGCTGGTAAAACAATTTATTGTCTACACAATGCTGAAACTATTAAGGAAATAATTCATATGCAAAAATGATCAATTTTGAACGATGGTACGTTCCTCTTTGAATGAGTTTAGCATTGCGCAAACATACATCCCTGGGCGATATGTAACTACATATTGTAAGTTTATACCTGTCATAAGTTTTATATTTGTTGAGATTGTTTTGCCATCGTCTATTTCACATTATGTTTATAAAACATAATCGAAAACGCATGGACGAGACAATATTATCGAAAGTTTTCGCTTTATAGCTTTATAATATTTTATATTATATTATATATATATGTGTATATATATATATAATATATATATATAGCTACAATATTTTGATTTCCTAACAATCTTTTCAATTCGTGATAGTACACAATTTTTTACATTATGATATCTTTATAATCTTGACATATTTTGTGTAGGTAAAAATCTAAATATATTGCTGCTAAATTTTTATAGAATGTAGTTACAAGGGATAATGTCTAACATACAAAATATGACGAACTTGTTAAGAGAATAAAATCTGTAAAGAATATATTCACAAGTAACTCTTTTTATGTTACAATTTGAATAAATAAAATTATGTTGTACAATTAAAATTAAAATGATTACATTATGTTTATAAAAAAATTTATATTTTTGCCTCTCTAGAACAATGTTTATATAATGTTTCACAAATAGATTATATATAATTTTTTTTCTAATATATAAGAAATAAATTTCTCTTTTTCTTTTCATTATTACAACTGTATAACCTGATTGAATATAAAAAAAATAAATGGAACAATGCCGAAATAGTATAATGTCTAAAATACAGATTTCTTTCTCTTTATATTTTTATATACAATACATTCTAAGTGTCGTGTAATAGAGTATCGTAGAATTTATTCAATAACAATTTTCAACAACGCAATTTCTAGAAATTACTATCTACAGGAACGTATAGACTAATTTCTCTTTCAATTTTGCTTCAAATATTTATATTACTTAAAAGATCATTGAAAAGTATTCTTTCTTTTCTTTCAATTGCTTGCAAATACTACCGATGGTAGTTGAGCAACGATCTGTTATTCGGACATGTAAATAAACGTTTCACGTATCATTATTTTGTACAATATGATCAATTTCAAGGCAATAATGATTTTCTCCTCAAAGGTAAATGAAAAGTTGCAATTAAATTATTTTATAGTATAATTTCGTATACTCTACATGGTTAGTAAATTTCACACAAGTTGAACTTAATAACATAATAAATAAGTAAATAACTCTGTTATCGTTTTTTTTAAGCACACTCAAAAGACAGTTCTCTTTGCGTATTTTAGCAAATGAAATCGTATCTACTGAAGCGATATATTGTAAATTGTTGAGAATGCATATTACAGGACGCTATATAAGTTTATACTACGATTCATTATATTAGGTGCATTAATTTGTCTACGACGAGTTTCAAAATCAAAAGAACAATGTTATGACATTTTAGAGAAAAGATGATTCCAAAGAAAATTCAAAAATATACCCTTTATAAATGAATAAATAATGTTATCACGTACGAGAATGTTACAAAGGAAAGAAAATCGTTAGAGAGACTGGCGAACTCGTGGTTGTGCCCATTCTACAAAATCGTCAATTAACACAGGCCAGGCACCTTCCTCATCATAATTACTCATGTCCGAATTGATCATAAGTGCAAAGTCTAATAGTAAGTTCCACGTGTCTTTTGGAATTGATCTTTTGTGATGTTCCTAGAATGCATCAGTTTATTTTTTAAGTAACTCGCCAGAGATATTGTCGTAAAAAAAAGTATCCAAAGTTTGCTTACCTGTAAGAATTGACACCATAATTGAAGAAATTTAAATTTATCATCTAATACAATGTTCCAATATGCGATCGCCATGTCCAAATCTAAGCCTTTTTGCCCGGCATTTTTCGCATAATTAAATGTGAAATGATAGAAATCCTTGAACTTTAGTGGATCCCTTAAGTCATTTTCTAAACTACCTAATCTCGCTTTTAGCTTATCTATACTATCCACACTGAAAATAACAATTATGAAAATAGTATTTTACACCCGTTTTGTAATTCAAAATGTAAGACACGCACACGCGTGATTTAATAGATTGATTAATCTCTCGCGTAGATGTATCGAAGAGATTTATATTTACCCCAAGTCCATCATTCCATTCATAAACTCCTCCTTGGTGAATTCGCATTGCGTCTCGGCGCGAAATTTCCATGCAATAATTAAAACTAATTTGCTCTCAGGACTTAGATTCAAGTCATCGAGAAACTTCATGATGCCATCCGCCGTAATTTTATTGGGTTCACTTGGATCTACGATATAATGATTGCAAGTTATTCTTCACATCACCTGACACGAATAACACGTGCCGATCGTGCATCACAACTGACACTGGTATCGCGCCGATCTTACCTTGGTATTTGCTATACAATATCTCCAGTTTCTTCTTGTCGACGGAATTTTTCGGTTCTTTGTAATAAGCTTCTGGATTCTGGAAGTAGTTGTCACTCGCGAGATCCAGCTTCCAATCATTTTGGGCTAAACAATATATCGCGGTTTGCTCCCCAGTTTGTGTAAACGTTATAAATTTTTTCACTTTGTCCCTTTGTGAAAATTTTAACTTATGCTGCAACATAAACAAAGTTGTCATGCACGTAACGCTGTATCTCGCAGAGGCTTTCTCAATCGTAGGAGCAAGAGATAAAAGTGTAAGTGACACCAATGTACGAGCCTGGGTCTCGCCGTTTTAATTAAATGTACCAACGGCGTGTCACGGAACGTTAATTCAAAAATTATCCCGGCTGCCCAAGAGCCATTGCACGCGCAAAAACTCGAGCTCGTATCGTTCAAAAGGACGCGTCGGCGGTTCTCGTTGCGCCAGGCGACGTCTCGATGGCAATCGTGTCTTGAACACCGGGGAACGAGCGGGGAGAAGCGAGGTGTCGCGTCGCCCCGTCGTCCCGGACGACGAGGCCGACGTGCGAGGGTAAAAAAACACCGCCAACGTTGTGGCGCGGAGATAGGTTATTCCGACAAGCTCCGAGCGCCGAAGGTGCGAGACCGCTCGGGCGAGGGGACGAGCCCGGTTGACCGGCGACGCGGCACCAGCGTGCGACCCCGTCGGCGTGCAATCGCGCCTTTCGCTCGAATGCTTACCATTTTCCGGCTAATTTTAGGCCCCCGAAAGCCAAAATATTATTCCCCTCGCACTACGCTTGACATGAACATGCGCATGTTCGGCGAAGGCCGCGGGCGACGCGGACACATCACGCGGATGCGCAACCGCGCTGTGTCGCGACGTGCCACCAAACGTCGCCGGGGCAAAGCAGGGGGCGCAGGGGCGCCGCGCGCGACGACGAGCGGGTCATTCGAATCCCGCGATCGACGTCATCGACGGCGCGCGGTATCTGGACCGCGGCCGGACGCGGAGGAGCGGTGCCGCGAGATAGGCGAGAGAGAGAGAGAGACGGCTGTCGCGCCAGGACGCAGTTTGCCACGTTGTCCCGACGGTTCCGGGCGTGCGCGGATATCTCGCGGGAAGCGCCGGCAGGCGTGGGTGGATGAGAGCGGGGGGGTATCGGCTGTACACG